AAGCGTAAATCAGTATACGGAAAACTCGTAGGCACCGGATCAATGATGGATAATTATGCCAGATGTGGTTCATCATGTAACAGTCATAACATAGGGTGACACAGAACTAGCTCCAGTTCATCAATGTAATGTAGGCATGTATTCCGTAAATAGTCATACGTGCTTATGGAAAAGAACTTGCATGACATCTTTTGTCCTACCCTCCCGTGGCAGCGGGGTCCTATTGGAAACTAAGGGATATTAAGGCCTCCTTTTAACAGAGAACCGGAACAAAGCATTAGCACATAGTGAATACATGAACTCCTCAAACTATGGTCATCACCGAGAAGTATCCCGATTATTATCACTTCAGGGTTGTCAGATCATAACACATAATATGTGACTATAGACTTGCAAGATAGGATCAAGAACACACATATATTCATGAAAACATAATAGGTTCAGATCTGAAATCATGGCACTCGGGCCCTAGTGACAAGCATTAAGCATAGCAAAGTCATAGCAACATCAATCTCAGAACATAATGGATACTAGGGATCAAACCCTAACAAAACTAACTCGATTACATGATAAATATCATCCAACCCATCACCGTCCAGCAAGCCTACGATGCAATTACTCATGCACGGCGGTGAGCATCATGAAATTGGTGATGGAGGATGGTTGATGATGACGACGGCGACGAATCCCCCTCTCCGGAGCCCCGAACGGACTCCAGATCAGCCCTCCCGAGAGAGATTAGGGCTTGGCGGCGGCTCCGTATCGTAAAACGCGATGAAACTTTCTCTCTGATTTTTCTCTCCCCGAAAGCCTATATATGGAGTTGGAGTTGGCGTCGGAGGGCATCCAGGGGGCCCACGAGGTAGGGGGCGCGCCCAGGGGGGAGGGGCGCGCCCCCACCCTCGTGGACAGGGTGTGGCCCCCTTGGTCTTCATCTTTGGCGAGGATTTTTTATTATTTATTATAAGATATTCTGTGGAGTTTCAGGTCATTCCGAGAACTTTTATTTTCTGCACATAAAACAACATCATGGCAATTCTGCTGAAAACAGCATCAGTCCGGGTTAGTTCCATTCAAAACATACAAGTTAGAGTCCAAAACAAGGGCAAAAGTGTTTGGAAAAGTAGATATGACGGAGACGTATCAAACATCTTGATCTATCCATGTGAGTACTTGCAAAGAGGAGGCGGTGACTGCATAGGATAAAAAAAAATTGTTGTTAGGATTATGAGTTGAAGTTGGACAAAATTTGAGATTACTCTTTGACCATACCGGTGGTACGCCATAGTCGTTTGTTGGAAGCCTCCGATCATGTGCATAGTTGGGACACACAAAGAATCTTCTCCCTTTCGTCCATGACTTCTTGCGGTCGGTGGACACCTTCACCTTGCAAACATGTCCACACCAACATGATGGAGTTTTCATATCTTTTTCCGTCACCTCGTCCAGCTTGGCTCTCCCACTTGTTCGGCATGTCTTCACGATCAGCACACGGCGGCCTCGTCATGGAACCGGATGAAGCCATGCCTACAAAAATATGAGTGGTTGTTAGTGAAAGATATCAACACAATGAATAGAGAAAATGAAATAAGAGTGATTACACAAAACAACAAGTACCATTCATATTATCTCAACCATCTAGATTAAGCAAAACGTCAATAGGCCTTCCTCTATCGATCGTCCTCGTCCTAGTAAGACCGAAAGAACGACCACCTCCACCGGCGCCTCTAAGACTCGCCCGTCCTCCACGCCCACCAATAGTAGTTCCACCAAATATTCCTCAGGACCCTCGTCATCCGAGCCATAACCACACATACGGTTATAAGGGAGGCTACGATCCATGTCTTGTTGATGGACAATGACATCCAAGTTACCTATTGGATTGTAATGAATCTCTTCTTCTTCTTCCGCATAAGCATCATCATCATCAACATGATCCATAGCTAGAATCTTTGGGTATTCAATTACTGTGGCTCTATCATTCATCTCCGCTTCATTTGATTGACTACTTGGTGGTTGGCTATAAGAATTGGGGACATACACCTCAACCCTAGCATCATGTATTGGGGAGGAGGCATGCCGGTTCAAGTCAATTTGTAGCAGAGGAGCATCAACCTTGTTGGCAAATAATTCAAGTGAGTTGTCTTGTGATTGCTCTACTTTACCCTTGTACACCTTCCAATGCAATTCCGAGGTGATAGGCATACTCTTCAACCGAGACTTCACCCCCACTCCAACATCATACCTTCCAATAAGTTTAACCTCATCACTTGGGTCCATCCAATGTAACACACTTCTAACTTTCACAACTACATCCTCATAGGTTGGGCTATACTCAAATACCATGTGTTCTTCCCCTCCATCGTCATTGCCATTCATAAATGTCTCCTTATCCAAATAATGGAGATTCCCGAGACTACCCATCTAAATAAATTTTAGAAAATGTCAATGATAGCCAGCAACATAATATGGGACAATATTCATTGTGCATCCCATGGATCGATAAAAGTTCTATGCAATACATTTAAGCAACAAAACAAATAACAACTAAAGAACAAAATATCATGGGTTAACCGTAACAACTAAAAAATGACTTTGCTTAACACTAACCCTAACCCTAGAAATAACCAAAACAATAACCATAGATCTATCTACAAACAACAAAGTTAGCACACTACACATGGTCAATCACACATATAAAACCCTAGATCTAGATCTACCATCCATCAAATCCATTGATTTCACACAAAAAGTAGCACAACTAGGGTTTGCATAAAAGAAATCAATGCCATCAAATAAGTTGATTCCAACCAACCAAAAAGAAGAGAGTGGGTGAGGTACCTTGAGTGATAAAAATGGCCTCAATCCACCGGAGAAAACTCAAGCAATGGAGATGAATTTGATGGAGCCCTAGGATGGGGGAGAGAGGGGGAGAGGGGCTCAGCTCGGGGAAGAAAGGATTAGGGGGCGAATGAGTGGCTTGTAGGGCCCACCTAACCCCCAGCCATTGATTTTGTGCATTCAACACCCTACCGCCACCATCTCTGGCGGTAGGCTACCTAGACCTACCGCCACGGCCAGTGGCTGTAGCCACTTATCCACGTCAGCAGGCAGACGGCGCTGTCGACGTTGACCCGGTCCCTACCGCCAGAGCCGGTGAAGGTAGGGTGTTCTAGCCTACCGCCAGCTCGGGTGGCGGTAGGAAAAGGGCCAGATCCGAAAACTTTCCAAAGAGGGGTCAGATGCGGCTAAACGTGCACAAAAGAGTCAAAACAATGAATTTGGCCCCCGGCTGGCACCCGACACTGCCCAATGACAATGGCCACATGTTTGCACCAACGGTCCATATGTCATGGACCTTACAGTTGGGTCGCGCGGGGCTGAGCCGTCCAAGGTGCCACCTTGAGAGGCCCCTGCGGCAAGCCAACCGGCAATGGATAGTTGGGAGGGCCTCTTCGCCGGCGAGGTGCTCAGGGATATAGGTACTCAACATCATTTATGGGAGTAATGATATGCATAGTCATACGTATTCGACAACAAGAAAATCATGTAAAATCCAGGAGTTGTTGATACTATCGCACCTTTCTGTCAGACGTGATATGGACGTGCCACACTGACAACGCGACCGACGACGGTGGTGGACCGTGGCAGAAGGGCAGATATATGTCGTGCAATCCATGAGAATTGAATTTTCCATTCGATTTCCTTCACAGACATACTAATCACTGCCCCAATTTGGTAACTTACACGTGGACACCCTGAGGACTTTTCAACATTTTATTTAAACACAATATAGACGCAAGCGCTCATACATATGCGCATACACTCATTCATATGAACGCACACACGCACAAGCTACCCCTATGAGCATCTTCGAGAGACTGAACCAGCATATCATTTTGAGATTTACGAAGTCATCGTAGGCGCCTCGTCGTCGACGGGAACGTCTCCTCCCACTGAAAGCGCATCGCCGGAAATCCTAAAATAAATATAGGAATAATGTAAGCACCAGGACTTGAACCGTGATGGGGTGCAGATACCACTGTCCTTCTAACCATCCGACTACAAGTTGGTTCTCACTTTTCTACTATGATGAAAAACCGGCACAGAGATCATTCATTTTTGTTTTGTTTTTGTACTATTAATTGAGTAGTGATGAGCATTTGCAGTACTCCTACTAGTAATCAAATTTGTTTATGCATTAATTCGTGTAATTAATTACTACTCCCTCATTTTCTGCTTCTGTTTACGTTTACCTTGTACCGCTGGCGCAACTGAATCGACCCAATTATCTCGCCTTTCTCCCGAATTTCCCTCGTCTTCCTCCCGTGACACCCCACAGCCCCCGGCGGCCAGAAACAGAGTCGCCCTGGTTCGGTGCGTTGTCCAAATTCAGGTGAGCCGCCGGCCAAGAATCCCCAAAACACCCCGTATCGACTGGTATGGGATAGCGTCACTCGTCTGTACCGCTCTCTCTCTCTCTCTCTCTCCTCCGCTCGCCTCGACACTGTTCTCCACCACGAGACCCACCCGAGAGCGGCCGCGCCGGCGATTCCCCTTCCACCGCCGCGAGCAGCAACGCCTGGCCTGGCTGGCTTTCTTTCAAACAAGGAGGGCAAGCACGTCGACGGTGCGCGCGCCACCTTCCCCTGTTCCCCTGCTTTGAACCAAACAGATCACGATATCAAACCCACCCCCGCCACACTCATCTTTGCTTCTCTTCCAGCTCCTTTTGATCTGATTCATTCATGCCCAATTAGTCCGTGCAGGAGGCGGATCCTATCTTCACTTCAACCAACAAGCCCGGACCGCTGGGTTCAAATCTGTTGCGGAGGAGGATTCCTCATGGTATCCGAACCAAAGGATTGTCTAATCCGGCTCGTCCTAGTCCCCGTTTCTGTCTTGTTCTTGGTAAGTTACCCGAGAGCAGCTGCAAGGCCCGCCGCCCGTCTCAATAAGTAGTCCATCTATTGAGTGAAAAACTACTCCAGATAGCCGCCATGGAGTCAACCTGCAACACCGTAAGTTCTTCATACCCCTTTTGCCTTCTTCTTGTTATTACTAGTAGGGTATCAATTAAAGTAGGCCTTCTAATCTTTACTAGAGATTTTTATACTGTTACTACTCACCTTGCCGATGGAGAATTGAATTTATGTCTTTTGTCCCTGTTTTGATCCTACTAGTTTAACTCTCTTTTGCAGATCATCAGAGATGAAGATAGCACTAGTAGCGCAAGCGAAAACGAAGATAGAATCAGCGCGCTGCCCGACCATCTTCTGCTCAAAATCCTCGAATGCCTTTACACGCCCACGGCAGTTCAGACCGGCGTGCTCTCCACACGATGGAGGCACCTCCCGCATCAGCTCTCGAATCTGCAAATCAATGCTGAATACTTTCCAGGCACTCTAGTGGATCAGATAATGACCGACTACACCGACGTGATAAGCAGATTTCTATCTCCGCCGCCTTGTGGATGCCATCGGATCATCAGGATCCTGCAGCTCTGCTTCTACCTAGCAGACCCTTACTTGTCCTCCATCGCTCACGCGGTCGGGGATGCCCTGAAGATCGGCGTACCGGAATACCTCGAGTTTGCGGCCACCGGCCATGTTGCATGTCCAAGTGAGGCTGAACTAGTACTCTTCAGACAACGGTTTATGTCCTTCTTCCATGCTTGGCCTGGTCCCTTCAGTTTGCTCACCAAACTGACGCTGCGGAGCCTTTCTTTTGAAGACTCAGATATCCCCAATATCCTCAACACTTGCAATAAACTTAAGCTCCTTTCCTTGAGATCCTGTCAAATGGGCCAGGACCCTGTCCTCAAGATAGATGCTCCATGCTCGGAGCTCATAGGACTTGAACTTATCGACTTTGGGTGTGCACAAGTTGAACTAATCTCTGCCCCTAAACTCCTGGAATTGGTCTATGATAGCTGGTGCGGTGAAAACCCCCCAGTGTATTTTCGCTATGTCCCTCAGCTTGTTAATTTATACTTCGCCTCTCCTGCCCTTTCTTGGCACACACCATTCACATTGAGCGAGTGCCTATCTGGTAACAGAAACCTGTCAATGCTGCATCTGAATTTTCGCACTCAAATGGTAAGTTACAGTTCCCTCCTCGTCTACATCATGTTTGTTTGTTTCAACGTGTCCCTGTTAACATCATGACATATTCCTCATATTTATGTACTTCGTTCTGCTGCAGATTTGGATTGAACCTGAAGATTCTCGACAGCTCACTCCTATATTCAGTAAACTGAGAGATGCGCATCTTTACAATATCTTTGCAGAGTGCGATCTGAATTGGACTATGTTTATCCTCGAAGGTGCACCTTCCTTGGAGAACTTTTATGTAAGTCCGTTACTTCAATTCTTCCAGCTTACCCACATCTTGGCCTGGATATAATTTGTTTGTATGATATGTTTCCATCAGCAATAAAAATATCGACGTGTCTGTTTAAGTGTGTAATATCAAAATTTAAAATACCCAACAGCTCTATCCTGTCACATGTTGACCTTTTTGAGATGCACGAATAGGGAGATCTCATGAATTGTACAGCAATGATGTACAATCTTGCTTCGATGCTGCATAGCGTTTTTTTCACAGATAATGTCCATGCACGACTCGTGTGAGGTATAATCTCATGTTGGATTCCTCCAAGTCCCTAGGGAATCCTCGAAATCATTCATTTGTTCCAAACAGCTATATAGGCCATTCCAAAAACTAGTTCCAAAGAGGGTGTCGTTAGCTTTATACCCATCATTCTTTACTTGGATGTATTGACTCTTGTTATTGCTGCTGTTCTATATCTTAGATATTAACATCGAAACGAATAACAACATTTAATGTAATGTGCTGTTTATTTGTGGTCCATGAAGCTATCTCGGCGTTCATGTGAACTCAGTAAGACCGAGGATAGTGCTGAGAAGACCAATGTGTTGTGGGAACCATCCAAGGATTCAAGGTACTTGAACTTGAAGTTGCTCGTGATGAACGGTTTTAAGGAGGAAGACAAGGTGATGAATTATGTAAGACTTGTCATGGTACGAGCTGTCGTCTTGAAGAGAATCGAGTTGTGTGATGAAGACCCGTGCAAGTGCAGTGCCAACAATCATGAGCCTCCAAGATTTCTGATAGATGAAGCTAGCAAGCAACGGATTAGGGAGCAACTCACCCATGGATCCTCCTCATCCGCGGATATAATAATCGGATGATGGACATAGTCCAAGAATAATGAAGAGACAATAACGATGGATAACGTCGACGAGTTAAGAGTGCTTGCTATTGTGCATTGGGCCCTGCCAGTTGTAATTTTGTTTTAGCATTTTAGCTGTTTATGGCCAAGTATATTTTTCTATGTGGGCAATTTATGATTCATGCACCGTATACGTACGTTTATGTTTTACTTTGAAGTTGGCTATGTGTGCTGATCTGTGCATTTCAAAATGTATGTCTTGTATTTTATATAGGACGCCCATATGGGACACCTAGGTGTCTGGGCACCTTGCCTAGAAACCGTTGGATTACATTGAGATATATACAGTTATATACTTAGGTATATCATCGTCTTGGCTATATAAGGTATGGTTATCTTTTGTCTCCATGGAAAAATACCCATGTATGTACGGGTATAAAACGTACGTGTCCTTGAGCACGTCTCCTTTCAAAGTATGTCATTTTGGGGTATGTGTCCAATACCATTAATGGGTATGTCTTCAAGCATATACTTTATATTCAAAAAAAAGTATATTATTATTTTTGGGTATGTTACCACTAAAACTACAAAATTTTCGGGGTATGTCTTGAAGGCAATACGTGTATTAAAAACCCAGATGTTGGTACATTATATTAGGTATATGTATGTAAACATATCGGGTCTGGATGTCTACATGGTATGTATATGTCCAAAAAAGTAAAAATAATTAGGATATCGTTTTAGATTATCTTATCACCTTACATAGAATAGGAAAACTAGTCTTCAAAAAGTGCGTCCCATCAATCTCTACTTCTAATGGAGCAGTTGGTGAATAGTTCGCCGGTTATTTTTCGCTGGTTTTTTCGTCCTCCCTCCCACCTCCCAATTTCGTCAGTTTTTTTTCGTCGGTTTTTTATTCGTCCCCCTCCTACTGGCCGGACAAACCCAACGTTTATTTGGTAACACAATGAATTCACATATGATGATTGATTTATTCTTTGGTAACCCAACTAACAGATGGTAATCAATCTTCAAATACCAAAACCAAACGTACAAGGCAAAAATCAATTCATTTTTTTTTCTGACCGGTTATTTTTCGTCTCCCCTCGCACCTGCTTTTTCGCTTCACCGCCCACATAAACCCATCGGATTAGTTACCATATAAAAAAATTAATCACAATCGATCAAGCATTGATGGGATATTTCCTTACATTGATGGGATATTTCCTTACATGAATCATACACGTCAAAAAAAGGTATGGCGTGCGAGGATCGTGGGCACATGCCCTACAAATCCGAAAATGCCTATAAAAATTAAATAAGAATCAATTAAGCATCGATGGTATATTTTACTTGCTTTGATGGGATTTTTGTACACGGTACCATTAACGCGTTCCTCCCATCGCTGCCCTCCTCACGAGCCTGGACGGCCGATCCTCTCGACGCCTGCCCTCATGTGTCCTCGCGTCGCCATCATCTTCTTCTCTCCGGTCTCTTTGACTAGGAGGACTCCTCTGTGCCCCAGGACCTGGCCGACGCCGGCGACTCCTCGATATTCCGCCCGCGCCGTCACATCCGACGCAGGCGAAACTCCAGCTGATGCCACGGGATCCACATCCTACGCTCGTCGGCCATCTTCCACTCCGGCTGCTGCGTGGTGCCGCCGCTGCGGGAGGCAACCTGGCAGGAGCAGATGTAGCCGTCCTCGTGCAGCCCGACCCATGCGTCTAGCTCGGCGTCGAAGTAGCTTCGGCCTCTGAAAGGCAGCATCCACTCCCCATGGCGCCTCCACTTGCAGCTCCTAGTGTCGACGGAGTACGTGCCGCAGACCGCCCTGCTCCACGAGGACACGAATATGGTGCGCCCGTCCGGGTGCAGCGCGTAGGAGAAAATCATCTCGTCCTTAGTGAAGGGCGTCGGCATGCTTCTCCAGGACCAGTCGGTGGGCAGCAGGTCGTCGTCTTCCGTCGGTGGCGGCTTCGCCATCGCCTCAAAGGACACATGCCGCTCCATGAGGTGGAAGGCGAACGCGAACAGCGTGTCACCGGCGCCGGAGGTCAGGAAGGTGTTGGAGCCACAAAGCAGTGCGTCTGGAACGGGAGGGCCGACGGCCAGTGCGACGGTGTCAGTGTCGTAGAAGAGGGTTCCGACATGTATGTTGCTCGTGGCGATGATGTAGCCGCCCAGGGCTGCGAACTTCATGGCACGGCCACGCTCAGGTGACACTAGCCGGAGGACAAGGGAGGCACTGAGGTCAGGACTGTCGGCATTGATCTTGCGGATGGTGAAGCCCTTGTGCCAGTCATCTAGAACCAGATAGAGACTCTTCTCCTTGTTGCCGCTGTGGTCGTGGTAGTAGTTGGCCTCATCCTGTTCGCCCTGCCTTCTTTGCTTAGACATCCAGCCCCCGACTGACTGAATTAGTGAATTCTGAAGTATATACCAGAAAAATGAAAACACTCGAATAGATTGGACGTAGCTGGCTAACCACGGTTGATGTAGTGTCGATCTACTAGAAGCAACACGGATACGCGCAAGCAATTGATACACACGGGCATGCCTCGTGCCCGCTGATCTTTCTATTGGTCTCTGGGTGTACTGTTTATAGGGGTGCAGGGTAATACGTATATATAGCTATAGCTAGGACGGAGGAGAATTTGTGGTCTATGGGGACATATACACCCTATATGGGAAAAAATTAGTAATTCAAACAAAAGTCAAAAATTCCTGAAAATATTTTTGAAATAAACTTGACCTTTTGCTGTACCCGTGAGAAAAAATCCACACACACAAAAAAATCCCTTTGACTTCTTTTCGAAAAAGACAATTTTTTAGCTAAAATAGTGTGAATAGTGACCTATAATAGCAAATAAATTTTGTCTTTTTTGTTGTGATGTCAACTTTTGTTTTTTTTGTGAAAGTGTATATACCAGTGCAAAAGTAAGTCAATTGTTTTGTCAAAATAGTTCTTACCTATTTTGACTTTTTTAAAAAATATTAAAAAAATCCCATATAGGGTGCATATACAACCAGGAACCATTGGGTATTTCCCTAGCTAGGACTTGCAACATAACCGACTCGGGACGGAACTACTGATCCTACTTGGTGATGGATTCCTGCATGAGCCGGACATGAGACGTGCTTTTTTTCTTGAGGGAAACGCCGCCGCAGCCGCCGCCAGCGAGTAACCCTAGGGCAGGGTGCTAGGATCCCCAGAGCAGGGCGGGCAGCAAGGTGCGGCGCAAGGAGGCCGTGTCGGTCGTTCCCGCCACCAGCGCTAAACCCAGGTATTTACGTTCCGTGTCCTCCCCGCACTCTACGCTGATACATCAACAAGGAGCTGACGGTGGAAATGCTACTCCTCCCCGAACTCTATGATGCTTGATTCGATCTCGTGGTGTGGAACCATTAAGGCGGGCAAGGCTATTGAGTTTGCTCCTAACGCCGGCTTGGGCGATGGGTGGGACGAATGCGAGCAGCGGCCGACGACGGACATGGACTCAAGCCAGCACAGGTCCACGGCGGAGCAGCGCACCTGCTGGTCTTCACTTGGTAGGTGGCAGCAGTTTCCGCATCAAGGTATGTGCTCTTTTTTACATTCTTGTCATGTCTGATTGAGAATCGTTGTATTAGCTCATGGGCGCCCGTACCAGCAGTCCAGATTTGATTCACGGTCAGCTCGGGTGTTGTGGAGCACAGAGAAGGAGGAGAAGGAGGGCAGGTGTTTACAATTCGGCGCCAAGGGAGATAATCGAGATGGTGGCGCAGAATTAGAGGACGCCAGGTGACCAAGAGACACCACCCAACGCCCATCGATGCAGTGAGGAGTGTGGTGTTCTACAGTATGGTAATTTGTAAAAGTTTTTGGTCCTATAATATCAGGGAGTTTGTGTGAGTGTGTGTGTCTGAGAGAGAGAGAGAAAGAGATCATTTGGTGGTAGTAAGTTCAAGTAATAGTTTAATCGCGGACAAGAAATAGTATAAAGATAATGCATATTACATAAAAATAACGCTGAGAATTTATATGTATTGTTTGTCACGGAGCTGTGGCTGGCCGATTTACATGAAATAAATTCCCTCAGTTGTGGTGGCAAATATAATACACATAATCCATATTGTTATGCACTAGCGTGTGTGTGAAATAGATGGATTATGGTCCCATACCCAGTAAGATGGATATGTGTATATGTGTTAGAGAGAGAGAGAGAGGGGGAGAGGGGGAGAGAGAGTGAGGAAGAGGTACGGAGAGTGTATGTGTGTGAGGTTTTGATGGTAAAAAAGGTCACCAGTGTCACTTGATATGTGTGAGAATATTAAATGTAATATTAACATAATTAATATTGAACACTTAAAGTTAATGTGGCCCCGTTGCAACGCACGGGCGTTCTTCTACTAAAATAAATAAGTGACGAATACCTTGAAAGTACATCATTAGAAAATACAAGTGTTAATTCAAAAAAATATGAGTGTTGGACACATGAATTTCGTTAGTAGGTATATACATCAGTAGGTATATATCAGCAGGTATATACATAATCCAAAATATCTTAGGTATATACATCAGTAGGTATATACATAACCCAAAATATATGAGGTATATACATCAGTAGGTCTATATCACTAGATATATACACAACCGGAAATAAATGTCTAATACCTTGAATAAATCAGTAGGTATATACATACATAACCTAAAATATCTTAGGTGTGTATCCGTACTCGAGATATTTTGGAACAGAATGTTGCTTACGAAAAAAAAATTACTTTTTTGGAAACCAGTCAGAGTGCATGCAAACAAAAATTGGAAACATCTATTTCAAGAAAGGAACATCATGCACGGATAGGTATGTCATGCACCATGGGCCTAGGTGCCCAGGCACCTAGGTGCCCCAAACATTTTACCTATATATATCGCGCTATTCGTCACTCTGGGTGAGGAATAATTATTCTTCACCCCGTCTATTTTTAACATCAATGCACCGTAATTTTACTTTCCGTAAATTTTGTCTTATTTTACAT